AATATATAAATCAGAATATCAGAAGAATATTATAAATTGTAATTTGTAGATTGTAAATTAATATTATAATTTGATTTTTGTTTCTAGTGTATTTGTTATCTTTTAAATATATTTTATACATATATCTGTTAATTTTCACGAATCCATTACCTTGTAATTAAAATAGAGAACAGTTTAAATCCTTATCGGTGCGATGTGCAGCTACTGAGTTATACAGCGTAATATACAGTGTTAATCTGTAAAATATACAAATTTATCTATTTAATCTAATTTAAAACAAGTATCCAAATTACATCTCAAAATGTAATTACAGCATGCATTAAAATTTTCCTTTTATTAAATTGTTTCAAATAATAATAATATATATATATAAAATAATAAATTATTCACCTTATGGTTATTTTGCCGTCACTTGATACCGCTCCGGGCCTTCTCCTTCCCCTTTTTTATTTCACTACTATCGCTTTTTCGTGATACTCTCTGGAAAAAAACCAATTAATTACAATTACGCGCACATTAATCACACCCAAATATAATTAATGAGCGATACTTTTGCACAACATTTTAATGGCAGGTGACGCGCTAACCGTTGTATTAATATACTACACAATCGAAAATGATTAAAATATGATTTTAATACATGAAAATTATTGTAAGTATATGAGAGTATATCATGAGAGACAATGATTTCCATAAATTGTTATCGCTATTCTTATCTACTCAAGTAAATGTAGCGCGCAAAATGTTTTCTTCGACAAAAAGCCGTTGTCGCGATATGTTTAATCGCTTAATCAAATTAAATAATTGTGCAAGTTGATACTCACAACCAACACATACTTATAGTTCGCGATCGCGTCTCGAAAATTAATGCGACGCCGCGCCGTTGATTTAATAAAATACTCTGCGATTAATTCCTAAGCAAGCTTACGATAAGGATAATATTAGACATAATAATTCGATTATAAATACATGTAGAAGAATAGATTCGTCTTTAAACAAATATTCGGAAGACGAATAGAATAAAAGTATATC